AACCTTTTATTACAGTTCATGGATTATGCCTACGTGGAAAACCATGTAAAAAGACGCGTCTTGCATTCTACCTCAAAGGTGGTGCGGAAACGAGTGCATCATCATAATGTAGTCGTTTTCTCAGCGCTCTAGTCCGAAAACGGTTGACTTTACAGGAAAATGCAAAAGACATTTGTTGTATAGATAATCGTATGAGGAATAACTTTTATGATGACTTTCATTGACCTCTGACCTATAGGTCGCGAGATATTCCCGAAAAACTGATTATCGTGACCTTTTGACCCTTATAACTTTTTTAGCCGGCACGATATCAATGTCGATTTCTCACATCTTCATTAAAACGCCATAATGAAGGTGTACACCAAAATTCAGCTCAGTAGAAATTTTTCCGCAGATAAAACCTTAAATGACTGGAGATTTCACGAGTTCAAATCCCAGGGCAATTCTTTATTTTTGCTGATAGTAACAAAATATTGTCATTCGTATAAGTACCAAAATTGGGTGTTTGGATAATCATGAGTTTTATTTGCCAAAACAAAGAAATTTTTTTACTAGTGAAATAATAGTATATTATGCAACGATCATGTAATGATGGTTATTAAGACACGAGCATTAACCGGGATACGAAACGAGCCGAAGGCGAGTTTTGTATGGTATATGCGAGTGTATTAATAACCATTACATGAGAGTTGCATACGCTATTTTTTCTAAATAATGAAAAACTATAAATATTATATTTGTATTGAACACATTTACAGTAATTAACTCATATTTTTAAAAAAAACACAAACTTAATGGTATTATCATGGTTATATGAAAACTATAAAGATTCTAATTATATTTATATTGAATATGACAATTGTAATTAATCTGATCTTTTAAAAATATTGGAGTCGATGGTATTCCTTCTATATCGCTGTTTTCAGACATTTTATAATATAGGTAGGTAATGTGAAAACTGATTTTGACAAATAAAGTAATTAGTTACTTAGGTTAGAATCTAGGACAAACAAAGGAACAGGATTCTTGATTGGAAAATTATGGGTTTCTATTGGTTGATAATCTGTATCGTTATGAAAAATCTGTATCATAATGGATATCATTATGAAACGGATTATGGTCATATAAGTGTATTGTTAGAGTACGGGTGTAGAAAAATAAATATTTCCACATTAGGAAGAAAGGTGATATGAACTTTGTTGTTGAGAATGTTTTACGAATTGAAATGCATGTTAAGACTTAGGGTGTTCCATTAAAAAAAAATTTTATGAAATATTTTGAAAACACGACTGTCCATTTTTTTCGGCATCGAGAAGGCCATTAAAAATGCTACTAGTTTGCACATTCAACCGAATTCGAAGCATCAATGATAACGGAGTTGGCAATGGTGCCGACTTAATTTGAAACACACTGTATATGCAGTTCTTCCTTTGCTGATTGCTTATTTCTTTGACAGATGTCAAAGGAGTTTTGAAATGTGGATTATGTTAATGTAGCACAAGGTGTGTCTTGAGATCAGTTTGTTGCTTTTTTTCCATCAATCTGAGGAGCTATTTGGAATACTCTTTCCTCCATATATGAGAATATACGCTGATTCTTTTAGTTTACGACTCTTAGAGTGAGGTTCATTGGAACTATTTTTTGTCTTGTTCTAACAATTTAGATCCTGTTAATATTTTGTTTTTGATGTAATTCCAATGTTCACGCACTTTTAATGGTCTCTAAGTTTCACCAATATAACTTTTACCACAAGAACAAAGTATCTATCTCATGAATGCAATTTTTGTTTTTTTCTTCTGTGTTGTCTGTGTTGTTGTGTTTTGTATGTGTGAGTATAGATCTCAGTCTATTTTTTGTTCTGTGTGGAGTTTGAACATCATATCTATAATTCGTCTTATCTTTTCAGATATTCCTGGAATATAAGGTATAACGTTAGTTGTGAAAGGTGTCGGTGGATGTAGATTTGGTAATTGTTGAGCTGGACTGTCTGAAAAGAAAAGACGAATTGGAAATAGATATGATATTAGAACTTCTTGCAAAACAAACAACATTGACATAATTCACATTTTAAAACTCCGACATCTGTCGATGGAAGGTGAATATATCCAAAAAGTAGATAAAAAACTAATTTTTGTTCACAAAAAATTACTTTTGTTCAATAGATTGACCATGTAGGCTGAAAGTTTTACGTATATGAAATATGATTCATTAGGAAAAATGTTCTTCATTCTCTTTACAGAAATATATTGCTTTGAGATGAACGAGAAACTTCCCTGTGAGGTAACTTATCTAATTCTTGCAGGTGGTACTTACTGTATAGGAACGTTTGAGAGAGGTGAATGTTTCGAAACATCATTTCAAAATATGAAATATCTGACAGCATTGCAAGGTTTATGTATTTTTTTCATACAATTCATAATTGTTTTCGTTTTTTGTATGTTTTTTTATTCAAAATGATTATAATAATTTCGCAAAGTAAACTGGGTATCGAGAATTTGTCAATTTTTGCTGAGTTTATCATTCCACCATATACGACATATCTATGAATTGTAAATATGCGGCTTTCATTTCATTTCATTTCATATACAGGGTTTTAATTAAGTATGTACCATAAATTTAACAGATGATTGTTTAGGTAATTTTAGGACGAAATGTTCATATAAACATGGGTCCGCAAATGTTTTTCGTTCTCAAGATACAGGGTGTAAAAATAAAAATAAAAAAAAGGTATTCGTAAATATCTTAAATATCCTTTACCTAATTTTGTTGCAATTTGGTAATGGTATTTATAACATCAAGGAGCTAATTTAGCCCGAACGTGATTCAATTTATTGAGTCCAGTGACGTATCGAGCGGGATTTGAATGAATATTTTTGACTCAAAAATGTATGTCACAGACGTTTGTGCAATTTTTATTATTTCTTTGGATTATGCAATTAGGAAAACAACGTTTTTGTCTCTTGAATTTTTTTTGTCTCTTGAATTTTTTTCGTATATTGCTTAGTTTCAAAAAATAAAAAGTCGACCTAATTGCAAATCCCTGGACCTCACAAGGAATAATATGGGGAATCAAATGTTTCTTTTAGAAATTATTATTTTTCCAATTCTTCATTACTAATTATGTAACAATAACAACAAATATTAAATAACATCAACATCTAGACTAACGAATTGCACTAAATTAAGTGTTGGAAAGTGCAATAGAACCATCTAGCCGCCGCATCATTGAATTTCGCACTCTTCTGAAAATACCTGGCGTATGAATTAATGATTTCATTCCATAAATCCTCTTCACTTTCAATAGCAGTTTTATATACCAACGCTTTAAGGTGTCCCCAGAGTAAATAATCATAATTGGGATTCATTTCGGGCGAGCGAGGTGGCTATGAGTGTGGCCCTGCTCTCCCAATCCAGCGATTATGGTAATTTTCATCCAAAAATTGCCGTGCCACTGCACTTAAGTGTGGTGGAGCACCATCGTGCATGTACCACATACGGAAACTTTCCATGACTGGAATTTCTTCTGAAAGTTCAGGTAAAACAAATTCTAAAAACCTTTGGTATTCTTCTCCATTAAATCTAGGTTGAAGGAAGTGAGGACCAATGAGATGGTCTCCGACAATTCCAACACAAATATTAAAAGAAAACTGTTCTTGAAAATCATTTTCTATCTAGGCGTGTGGATTGTTTTCGGCCCAAATGTGATTGTTGTGAAAGTTAATAATTGAATTGCGAGAAAAACAAGCTTCATCTGTAAACAATATTCGGCTTAGGAAATCTGGATTTCTTCTTATTTTACCGCGTTACCAATTAGAAAAAGCTAGTCTTGAAGGCAAATCTCTGGGCAATAGAGCTTGCACACGTTGCACGTGATAGGGATATAGCTGCTGGGCTTTCAAAATCTGCCACACTGTGACATGGGTAATATTCAGTTCTTCAGCTATTTTCCAAAGTACTGGAATGAGGATTTACTTCAATCTCATTTAAAACAGCTCCTTCAATTAGAACTGTTCGTACCGTTGCAGGCCTCCCAATCTTTTAAAGCTGCCTATTTCAGAAAGTCGTGCATGGAGACATACAAAAGTTTCTTTCATGGTAAATGCTTCTTGCAGCATTCGAGTTTCCGTGAGCCATTCCATAACAGAAATAAATATCTGCCATTTCACTGTTAGTAAATTGAACCATGTTTTACAAAAATGGTTCGAAAAATAACCACTGAACACGCTTTTTATAACAATTATAAATTAAAAGCTTATAAAGTTGACAACAACTGTCAAGTTGTTCATTAAATGCTGCAATCGTTTTCCAAGACAAATCTTGATTATTATTCATAGTATTTTCAGAAGAGTGCGAAATTCAATGATGCGGCGGCTCGACGGTTGTATTGAAGCCGAAGGAGCACTTAATTTAGTGCAATTCGTTAATCTAGATGTTAATGTTATCTAATACATAATCAATTATGAAAAATTGTAAGAAAAATAATTTCTAAAAGAAACATTCAATTCCCCATATTATTCTTCGTGAGGTCCAGGGATATGCAATTAGGTCGATTTTTTTTTCTTGAAAACTAAGCAAGATACAAAAAAAATTCTAGAGACAAAAAATTTGTATTTTCAATCGCTCAATCCAAAAAAATTATGAAAATTGCACAAAAGTCAGTGGCGTACATTTTTAAGTCAAAAATATTCGTTCAAATCTCGCTCGTGACGCCACTGGACTTAATAAATTGAATCAAGTGCATGCTAAATCAGCTCCCTGATGTTATGAATACCATTGCCAAATCACAATGGAATTACGTAAAGAATATTTAAGGTATTTACGAATAACTTTTTTTAAATTTTTATTTTAACACCCTGTATCTTGAGACCAAAGGATTTGCGGACCCATGTCCGTCTGTTGAATTTATGGTACATACTTAATTAACACCCTGTATAAAAAATCATCAATTTTCAAACAGTAATTCACAGTAAGGTAATTGGTTTTCTCTGCAACTTACTTACCGATAAAAGATACAAAGTATAAAAATGGACTGGTCATTTTCTTTTCTTCATTCTCTTGATTAAGTTTTGTTGAACCGCCAGTACTACTTTTGGGTTTATAAATAACCTCTTGCAGAGTGATCTCATGTTCTTTCAAATTACCCATAATATTTTTTTAACTTGAACTCAAAACTGCTACCTATACTATAGTTATCATAAACACAATAGAAAAGGAATTTAGTTGTGCAACAACGATATTTATCAGAAGATGTGTTTCTATATTGACACTCTTATTTCAGATTCATGATAGTGTGGTAATTCAACAATTGTGTTATCAACATATTCAAACATAGGTGGGATTTTGTTAAATAAAAAGTAACTACGTCTGAATTGCTAGAACAAGTCATACCCGTTTTCGGTTCAAGTAATGAAACCATTAGTTGAAGTACAAAATATTCCGAAACTTTTTATTCGTTCTGTATATTCTGGTTGATCGACAAAAAAAACGATTTTCAGATACTGTCTGACATACTGATAATTTTCTGTTCAGCTCTTTTGGATGTAAAGTTGATAGACGGATATAATCAATACAGAAAAAAATCAACTTTGGGGTTATCATGAAATGAATAGTGGATACAGTGTGTCCTGTTTTCAATGAATCCTTTATATCTGAGTTGTTAAAAGCTAGACTTTGAATTGGTAGAATTTGTGGACTCCACTTTTTCGACTTATTTGAAACATATGTTTCTGATAAGCGTAGAATTTTTAAGTAAAATGAGCTTGATTTTCTGTGACAAGTATATTCAAATTTGATATAAATGATGTCCATTCAAATTCAAATTCAAAGTTGAACGATAGCAAAAATACATTCGAATAAATAAATACTTTTATCATTAGCGCATTGAAATTTACCACATAAACAAAACCATAATATTTTTCTGGAAGAAATGGAGGATAGTTTGATTTCGGTTTATCCCGTTATACATGAAGAAGTTTGTGTGGGTGATTTTTATTTAGATTTTGAAAATAGTTTAGTTAGAAAGTTTCACTCAATTTTAGAAAATATTGTTGCCAAACAAATTCTTGCCGGAAAAAAATTGTAGCATTCCAAGTCTCGTCATGGAACCAAGTCGAATCAATAAGTTTTTCATTGAATCCTTCCCACTAAGCCTACCTCATCAAGACGTTATGAATGTTCACGAACCACAGACTCTGAATATTTCCACATTTCCGTTTGGAGAGGTTAATGATTCCTTTGCTTACGAAACAATTTCTGAGATCAAAACTAATGCCAAAGGATGCGATGGACTCAATGTGGACTTATCGAACTGTGCTGTATTCATGTAGTACCGTACATTACTCACATAGTGAATGTCTCTGTAACTGATAATCAATGGCCAACAATGTGGAAAATTGATCTCGTTAAAGTTTTACCCAGACAAAAAAAATTCAAATGAATTCAAAGATCCAAGAGCAATATGTATATTGTCAACTTTGTCGAAAGTTCTAGAGAAGGCTATGGAAACACAGATCAAGTCATTTAAGTAGTCACTCTTCATTATCATCCACTCAATCTGTGTTTCATGAGGGTTATAGTTATGCGTCAGCACTTCTCCACATCAACGATGATATCCTAAGAGCTACTGATCAAGGTCAGTGCACACTGCTAGTTCTACTCGATTTTAGTCGTGCTTTCGACACAATTCATTACGATTTGTTATTGAACATGTTACATCATATAGGTTTTTTAGAAAATTCACGAGTGTTAACAGGCAACTATCTCAAGAATAGGCGATAGAAAGTTGTTCTCGAAGACAACAGCTCTGAATATTCAATACTCAGGTCAGGTATGCCGCAGGGATGTACACTGGACCTCCTCTGTTTTCTATATAACCCTCCCGGTTGTTGACTGGAATGAAAGCCTGCAATATTCATTTATACGCTGATGATATCTAGCTTCGTCATAATTTCCTTCCACATATGATGGATGATGCATGCATTTTAATCTATAATGATCTCGATGCTTTCGCAAAAGCTGACAAAGACCACTGCCTGATGAGTCAATTAATGTTATTTGGAAGAACATATCAGAGTTAATAAGTGGAGGACTCTATCAATATTACGGTAAATAATGAGCAGCTGGATTGAGTCACAAAATAATATTGGGCAACAACACTTCTGATGGTGGAAAAATTGTATGCGGAGTTCCTCAGGGCTCAATTTTATTCTTGCTATATATTAACGATATGGCAAAACTTGATATATCTAGACTCTAGAGCATTTATCTTGTTTGCGGATGACACTACGGTACTTTGGCGTAATAAAGATCCTGGTACCTTGACTCGGTCTGTCCACTTAGATTTAGACAATATAAGAAAATGTTGTAATTGAATATGCTATCGCCGACTGTTTCTAAAACAAATCTGATAACATTCAAGTGGGAATTAGAGCAAGTAATACTAGGTGAATACATCATTGAAAGTAAGCCTGTAACTAAATTTCTTGGTATATTCATTGACAGTAATTTAAAATTTGATACGCAAATTACTGCTTTAAAATAAATATTATTTTCTGGTTGCTTTGCCATAAATGTCACATCTCGTGAACTCGGATTTTTAGCAGTAATGAATGCATACCATTCAATCATGAAGAGTCATCTCCGGTATGGAATTCCTTTCTGGGGCTCAG